ATCAAACGAAATTTCAGCTCAGCCTTTCTGATAAGAAATAAAGGATGCAGGCATGCATGGCTATTTTTCTGATTTTTTTTCTACTTACTGGACTAAAACCCATAATGAACATTTCAAAGTGCTGAAACCAAAAATGGTGTATAATAAGGTACTAAAAAACTAATTTAGCTGTCCTATATGGACATGTTGGCCAAATGCAAGAGACATTCAAAATGTGGTAAGTTGCTTTAAGTTGAAATTTAACTAATCATACTTACTCGTGTAATAGATTGGTTTCGGTTTTTCACTTTCATGTGGGAATAAAAATAAAAATATCATCAAGTTGATTTTTAACCATGCAGATCAATCTGAACACTTGAAAATTCTGTAATTAAATCAGATTTCGATGCTAAAATTCGGTCAATAACATGCTTAAAAAACTGCTACTTTAAACAAATAAAAAAAAATCCAAATTACTTGGCAGTGTTCAATAAAAATTATCTTTAGGCCACAAGAACAGTTATTTGGAGACTGGATATTGTCATATTTCAACCAAACCGCGCGACATAATATAAATTTACACTTCCAAATTCCCACAAGTTATTTTTTCTTCATCATCACAATTTTCCTTTTAGAAAGGCGGTACAAAGTTTCTTCCAAGCTTCCCTGTCAGGCTCACTACCCTCCACCTTAGTCTTGGCCTCGGCTGCAATTGATTCCTACAGAGCATTTTCACTCATGACTAATAACTCGGGAAGCTCGTGAATATATCATTGTGTTATGGCGCATTTTTATTCATGAGTAAGAACTCAAGAAGCTTCATAGTTTACCTTGACGAATAATTAGTGATCATAATTGTTTGGGAAAACTATAAGTTTCTCTTCGACATGGCTTCAACTACTTTCTGATCAAAGATTCTCATAATTCTTTCTTTTGTTCATTTTTCTTTTTTTCTTTTTTTTTTTNAATGAGTTCACGGTTTAAGAGACGGTCGATTAGGTGCAGCAAGATATCCTTGGTGTATTCAGGGTGACCTTGGATACCCATTATGTGACTGCCGTACCTAAACATTTCGACCCCTGTTTTGTTTGACCATGCTAAGACCTCTGCATTGACAGGAAGCTCCCATACCTAAACCGGTTTTTTTAAGTCGGTATAAGTCACATCATTGAAAGAATACATTTGTTTGAAAAATTGGAGATTTCGTATATAACTAATCACCAAAATGAGAAATAGTCCAGTAATTGCGTTGATTTAAAAAAAAAAATGACTCTTGGTCCTTCAACCGGCTACTGAGTTGGATTAGTCCATTGTCATGTGTACGGAAAAAAATAAATAAATAAAAAATAAATAAATCCACATCAGCAACCGGTCACAAGGACCGGCTTTTGCCGCTGGAAGGACCAAAAGTCTAGGTTTTTTTTTTTGGGTATTTTGTAAAATCAACGCAAACACCAGACTATTTCTCAACTAGGAATTAATTACAGGACTAAATCTCTAATTTTTTCTCCTTAGTAATTCAGTAATTCATAAAAGGTGGATGAAAGTTTTAACCTCATCCCTGTGGAAAGTGACGACTGAGAGGGAATCTGGCATTTTCAAGGAAGTGAAAATAGGTGATGGAAATAAGTGGACTTTGGTAATTCCAATGTCCCATCCGGTACTGGCTCGTCCAATCCTGCCTCCAAGAGCTCGTCCGAGTATCTAATCAACATTAAAAAAATAAAAAATATATCCTTTCACATACAAAAACACAGGTCATGTAAATTGTTATTCAGATGTGATTCTCTATTTTAACTATTCTCAAGGGTAAGCAGTTAATGTTAGAAATATTTATTGGACAACATATGTAAATTAAATGTGTATAGTTCTCACTTATTGAATATACAAAAAGATATATACCAATACAAACACTACAGATAAAAATCTGCTATAAGGTTTCGACCATTTGGAAGACCATACCAGTCTAACAAGATCGTTCAGAAAATCAGAAAACTCCAACAAACTGAAGAACACAAGAATTCTCAAAACTATGAATTCAGGTACGCTTCTACTATTCGGTTTGATTCTCAATTATTCGATATGAATGCTTTTAGGATAAAGCGGTTTTCGCATAAGTTTAAATTTCCTACCGTTAATACCAATGTTATCAAAACCGGACCGGCCGGTTCGACCGGTTCGACCGGGAACCGGACCTAGTACCGGTCCGGTTTAAGTGTTTAAACCGCTGGGAACAAGAACCGGTTTCGAACCGTTCGAACCGGTTCAAAACCGGTAAACCGGTACCGGTTCGACTGGTCGAACCGGTTCTGAAATTTGAAAAAAAAAAAAATCTTAATGAAATAAAAAAAATCAAATAAAAGGAAAAGAGTGAGAGAGTATTTTGATGTTTGATGAATTGTAATGTTGGATTGGATATATTTTGATGTTTGATGACTTTGTAGTTTGTATTTGTAATTTGGATTACCTTGGTTATTAATCTATTGTTTTAGTGAACTTAATTTAGTATTGCTTATGGTAAACTATACTTAAAATATTGATTTATCAGCTCTTATTTAGAAAAATATCATTATATGCTATTATATGCTATAATATTAATGATAAAATATATACATATATATATAATTATATATTATACATATAAAATAAATAAATAAATTGTTTATTAGTTAAACCGGTTCGACCGGTTCGACCACTGGTCCGACCAGTGAACCATTGAACCAGTAGCTTCACCGGTTCGATGACCGGTCCGGTTTTGATAACATTAGTTAATACTTACTTATCAACTTACAATTTTTTTTTTCTTAATCCATTTTTGTTTGGACACATCCATGTGTGTGTGCATGTGATACAAACGTGACCACTGTACACATATGCAGCATCAAATCTACCCTGCTTTTTTTATACAATTTTCTTTTCAATTTGTCCTAGTTATTCAATCAAATCTACACACATATGCATCAAATCTATGATTTGTATATAGTACGATTGGTATTTCTGAATTATTCAGGACCCAATAGCTTCTTACTGCACGACAAAATAATAGTTATTTCAGGCATTGAAAAAATTCACGTGAGCAGCTCACGAGCTTTGGTACCTACTTCGAAGTGGACCGCAAATTATGGGGAATAAAAAACATGAGGCGCAATTTATATCCCCTATATATAATTTCAAAATACATGAGTCTAAGTGGTAGGCTCTCACGTTTCGAAATCCTATATGACAAATTTTTAAAGTTTATAATTTGGATTGAACGAATTTCAATTTATTTCCAGTCAAAAAGTGACTAGCCTTGGAATATCCATAAATATAATAGATATTTATCATTTTTTTTAAAACATTAATTATGGTTCAATACCTTGATTGAAATCGTTGGATATTGCCTGGATTTTTCCAACTCTGAAAGCTAAACCCCTTTGGAAAGTTCCAAGTTCCAGATTAGAGATTATTTTTGTTGTTTATTATTTAATTTTAAAAAATAAATTTTTAACAAATGCGTGTAGTAGTAACTAGCAAATCAAACAGAATAGCAAAATATTATGTGGTAATTAGAAGTTAAATTAGAAGTTTGAGGCCGAATTAGATGTTTGATCCGTCAAACATTTAATTTTAGAGTTTCGTAAGCAGCCGTTTGAAACTACTTTTCCGATCCAAAAAAAAATATTTTAAAACAACTCAATATAGAAATTTTCTTAAATAGATAATTATAATTTTAATTATTTTTACCTAATAAACACTTAATTGTTTACTAAACTTTTCTCCATATCAACCTATCAAGTAACTCAATCAAGTATCATATATTCCATATCACTAAAAAAAATTTGACCTATATATGAAGAAAAAACTAAAAACTCTCAAGTCTCATACTATATACTAGTACGTAACTCGTGCGATGCATGAGATGTAAAATTTGGAAGAGTAATATAACCTCACGTGCATTAGGATCGAAATTGAAATCATTAAAATACATAGGAACATTATTGAATCATAAAAAGTTCGGTAACAATCATATATTATTAAAACCTCCTTGTACACAACATTATGAGTTTGATTATTTGGTAACTCCTCATTATCACAAACTAATATTTTCAAAAGAGACAAATCTTAAAAATCAAACTAATGTTTTTGGTGAACAAACTAATATTTTAGGATTGGTGAACAAACTAATATTTTAGAATTTCTAGGATTTGTCTCTTTTTGGTGAACAAACTAATATTTTAGGATTGGTTATATGAATAAGGCTACCTGTTTTTGGTGTTCTTTTCATTCATTTTCATTCAAACAATCCGATGACTTGTATAATGAAATTCGAATCTTAAGCCGAAATATTTAAAAAAATAGTTTTTAAAAATTGAAAAGTCAAGGCAATCAGTTCAGATTAATTAAAGGTCAAAGAATATTCGCTCTTTGAAATAAAGACGTGTGCTATCATTAACCAAATATCCGGTTATTGATATAGAGTGGTTACCAAAAAATAGAAGGCGATAAGGACGCTTCATGGAAGTATCAATGGGATAAGGTCATAACAGAACACTTTACATTTTAACGATAAAAGCTCAGATGAAATGATTTATGATAATTATGTCGTAATTAATGATAATAAGGTCATAACAGATCGCTTTACATAATTAATGAGATGTGTGAAAATGACATAATTAATGAGAAGTGTGAAAAGGACAAAAAAATTACCAATTCTGGAAAATATTTAATGCAAATCCGACATTAACCATAATTTGACCTACTATTTTGGATAAATGTTAATTCTTATTATATAAGTATAGATTGCTGTGCACACACAACCAAAAATGCAAACGGCATGACCCCGAAACTAACGCGACGCAACCCACTAACTGGCACTCAACAATCGCATAGCCAAAATAACTAAACAAATCAAACAATCACAAAAAATAAAAATTAAACAATTCAAAAACTGGAAATACGAATAAGACGAAACCTGATGTCCGAAGCAAATGCCGAGGACTCTCTTCTTCATGGCGTCCAACCGCTTGAGCAGGACGAGGAGCTTGCAGATCCACAGATCGCCGCCGTGGGCGTCGCTGCAGCTTCCGGTGATGACGAAACCGTCGTAGGCGGAGATCTCGCCGTCCGCCGGAAACTCGCCGCGCGCCACCGGAAAGACGTCCCACACCTCGCCCTCCTCCCTCAGCATTCGCACGAAAACCCCGAAGTAGCCGCCGTAGACCTTCTTCACGTAGTCGGAGTCCTCGGCGCACAGAAGCACGGCGAACTTCCGGCCGCCCATTCTCTCTCTGTGTATGTGTGCCCGCGCGCGTGTAGAGAGAGAGAGAGAGAGGGCGAGATTTATGAAAATGGGTTCGATCTGACTCGGAGTTTAATGGGGGCCATTTATATAGATCGGTGGAAGAGATGGGTGATAGTGAATTTACATTTCTACCCTCGGATTACTGTTGGCTTTATTTATCCTTGATTTTTCAAGTATTTGTTTTGACAACTAAGAGCACGTCCCAAATTGCTATCTTCGTGGTGATGACTAATGATCATTATAGGTTATGTTTGACAAAATTAGTTGATAGTTAATAGTTTATAAACTAATTTAGAGTTTATATAAGTGATATTCGAGTTTATAGCTTATAGTTTATGAAAAACTAGCTTATATGATAAAAATGTGAGAAAAATTAGTTGATAATCTAACTGAAATAAAAAATTCAATTAGCTTATTAGAAAAACTATCCAAAGAAGCTTATGAGATAATCTCGAGCTTTTTAAAAATGCTCGTCCTACCAAACGATGTTTATTTGAATACAAAAAAACTTATAAGATAACCAAATAAGTTATAAGCTAACTTATTTGATTACCGAACACATAGCCCTAATCCTCTTGAAAAAATGGGTCACGAAAGAATTGATCTTTGACTGTGACTGTAACGCCCCGTTTTATTTTAAAGAATTTACCAAATTTATTTAAATAAAAATCAGAGTTTTTTTTTTTAAATCCGAATTAAAAAAAAAACATCTAACGAGAACCGGGGCTACTTATTAATAACAGCAAACCACACAACCAATCATTCAAAGAACCTACACCTGCTCGAGCTATCAAAATAACCAATCCCATGAAAGAACATAAGTCTAAAAATCATTCTCAATCGTCTAGCATAAATCAAGGTTCAAACGTAACTTAAACATAGTTCGAAAGAGAAAAAAATAAATAATCCAAATCGACGAAGCACTAACAATCCAAAACAAAAGCAATTAGTTTAACATAAATAAAATCAAGCGGAAACAAAGACACATCCAGTAAATGACCACCATCTCGAGCCTCCAGCTCGTCTCAACCTAAAGCAAAGGAAGAGAAGACACAACAAAGAAAAATAATGGGGTGAGCATAACCAACAAGCTCACCATTATCGCACAGTTTATCTCGCATAACATTTTAAACCATCAAAACCATAGTATCCAGTATGCATAAAATCCAACAGTCTAACTCCCTACTTGGCCCTATCGCAAACATCCTATGTACATACAACAACCTTCCGATCACACACGGCAAGGAAGTAACTGGAAACCTTCCCATCACCGAATGGCTCCGGGCCTGGGATCCTTTCCAGGAGACAGTAGAGATGTTTTTCCCATTCACGAATATCATACGGACCTGGGCGTCACCTCTCCGAATCTACGGGCCGATGACCTCTCACTGTTTATGCATCCTCAAAGGCACTAACATACGGGACACTTAGACTAGGGTTCTCACGCATACATCATTTTTCAAAACAAAGCATTTATATGAAATATTAAGTGCGATAAATATGTAATACATCATAAATGTAACCACCTGATTGCAGCAACAGTTCAAAGTCACGAATCTCGAAATGAGGCGAGGTCAACACCTCTAGACACCTACATTAAGTCCAGATACTAAAGTCAACACTTTAATCTAGACCTAAGTAGAAAATTCCCAAATTGACTTAGCCGAACTTGATTCGACCAAGTGGTTCGTGAAGTTCTGTGGATATGGGAACTCTAGGACTTAGACTCGATCAAACCACATATTCAAGTTCACATAATCACAAATGAAAAACAATCAAACGAGCCACAAGTAAACACATAGCACATTTGGTCAACAACACTTAACAAATTTTATTATAGAAAACAATTTTCAAAATTCACACTTGAATTAGAAGGTATATCAAATCAACGAATTAGGTTCTGAAAATTTTACATAAAATTCACCTCCCAGTTCTAAGAAAACTCACCAAGTTTCAGCTTCAAACTCATTATACATAATTTTATAAAATTCAAACAAGTTTTTCAATAAAAACGAATTTAAATTAAAAACACATGATAACAGACGATTCAGGCTATGGAACTTTATCTAAAATACTACAGCATGTGAACAGTAACATATAAATTTATCAGCCTTAAACACTCAGCATGTGAATTTACAAAATTAAAACAACACTCAGCTAAGTATCAAATTTATATTAAAACTGAACCTAACTGAACTCCGAAAATTCTAAACTTTTTACAGCATGCTCTACATCACATAATCAACATCTCGACCAAGAATCAGAATTTTTCAGCTTTGGACCAATTTATCACAATTAAAACAAATTTGAGCAGAAAAACCAATTAAATTTTTAACCTTATCAAACCTAGTCTAAAAATTCTAAAACTTTTACACAACACAAAAATACACCAGAGACATGTCGTACTCAAAATTCAGATAAAATGGAGCACCACAAAATTATTTATGCATTTTACAAGAAATTGAACAGAAATCAATTAATTTTTAAAAATAGCTAAAGACCTTTAAAAATCACAAAAATTTTACACAAGCTACATATTCACAAAAATTAAGCTGCACCTAAAATTTCAAGACAATTCGACTAGTATTCAATTTATGGTGAATTTTTCATTCCAAACAGCAATTATAACTTTCGAAAAATCATAACTACCAATTTACAAGTCCAATCGACACAAGGTCAGCGCCATTGTGTTCGAAATAATCCTAAGTTCCTAAATCCACAGCAACTAATCACTTATATTCAGTTCTCGTTTGATTCGCACGAATCGACGAGTTTCACATAAAATCACGACGATATATATACAACGAACAATTTCAAACACATATATTATAATTCAATGAACACGTAAAGCACAACCGATCACAACATTAATTACGAAAGAATAAACGACAAGTCGAGACTCCATACCGTTCTCGCGAAACGCTCAAAAACGGACTAGAGAGGGGGGACGACGGCATCTCATGGCGGCGCTCGTGAACTCGAACGGCCAAATCGCTCGTCGAAGAACTCCCGGCAAGGGGCTGTTATAAGAAAAAAATGAGCCGACGAGGGCCGACGGGGGTGACGCTGCTGTTCGGGCGGCTGAACGAGCGCCGACGGGGTGCCGCTGCTCTTCCCGCACGGGCCCGAAGGGCTGCCCGCTGCTGTTTCGGGCTCCCCTTGCGCGTACAGGCCGCTCGAAAAGAAACCAGCAAGGAGTTGTTGCGGCTTGCTGAAAATTACGGGCTACACGAAGGTCGCCGTTGCTGTTCGAGAAGGGGGCTGAGAGTGGTTCTCGTCGTGAACGGGCCCAACCGCCATGGCTTCTTGGTTTCTGCGAACAAGGGCGATCATGACGATGGGAGTTCCGTTGCTGGTCGCGTGTGGTGGAGGACGGGATCTCTTGAAGAAGTCGCGTGGCTGAGATGGTGGCTTCGACGTGAACGGGCAGCATGGAGTTCTCTTCTCCGGCAGGCTCGAGTCACTGCGGGGACTTGCTGCTCGCCATGGGCGGTTGCTGCTCGAGGGTCATCTGAGGGAGATGCTGAACGGACGGAATCTTGACGTGGCTATTGGACTGAGGCCGCACCTCCGGCGATGGCGATGAGCTTCCCGGCGATGGAAAATCGCGGCTGGGATTCTGGGCGGCGAATTGACAGTGAGGGAGAGATCGATTGAGAGAAAGAGACAGAAGAGGCTGCGGCGTTACTTTGCGAGAGAGAAAAGATGGGTTATCGAGAGAGAGAGATCGATGACTGCTGGGCGATGAGATTTTTCTTTATCTGCTGAGAAACGAAAGAGAAAGAGATAGCGGCGCTTGTGTTGACGGGAAGGAGAAAAAAAAGATTGAGCTGATAAGAGCACCCACAATCCTTTTTGTCTTTTTTTTATATATGGCATATAATTGGATTTGATTCTTAAATAATGTGGACAAACCCAAGTAAAAAACTTCAATAACTTTGCAATTCAAAAATAAAAATACTAGGTCTACCATATATGTCAACCAATAAAAATGATCTAAAATGTTTTTTTTATTAAAAGAAAAATTAAAGTAGGAATAAATGATTAGTGTTTGGGTTTGTACTTGGGTCCAAAATAGATCCAAATGTGGACTTAGTCTCTTTTTTTTATTGCCACATAAGCTAGACCATGTCCACTTTTAATTGCATTGGGAAGCATTTTTTTATAGACTATGTCTATTTCTTACATGGCATGTGATTTTTTGTCAAGAGCAAGCATTGTGGATGCTCTAAGGGTTTGCAAACGGGAGTCTTAACATCTATTGGGCTGAGCAAGTAATGCGCCGTTTTTTTCTATTCTTTTCAGTTGGGCTAGTTCGCGACATTAATCCGACTCATGGGCTCGGATTCGATACAAACGAATATTTTCGGGCCCAACTTCGATTCAAACGCACGATAAAAATAAATCGAACAATATATATATATTTACACATATATATTAATACACATTATTCACATTTAATAATTAATCACAAAGATAAATTAGACATTTAGACAATTATTAATTAATCACATTTGGGCAAACAATAATATCACATAAATAATAATAATAATCATAATAATAATAATAACATTAATAAAAATAATAATAATATTCTCAAATAATCCACAAATAAACTACAAACAAATGGGGCATTACATTGACCGGTCAAACTAGTCAAACTGACTAATAGATCTCTCCAACTCTTCTTGTTTGTCCCATTTTTGTTACATTTTTCGTACATATTTTACTTTTATTTTTCTCCCATTTTAGGTTTTTTTGTGAATTTTTAGTTCATTTTGTATTTTATTATGTGTTTCGTTTTATTTTGGTTTTCTTTGTGGTTTTCGTGTATTTTTCTGGTTTTTTGTCGTTTTTGGTGTGTAGGTCGAAAGCTTCGAGAGGACCAGATTTTGGGCGAAAATTGTCTTTGAAAGCATCATTATATAGAAGAGTTCGTTGGCGACAAGTAGAAAAAAAATGGAACTCAATTCCGAGTTCGGACGAGCTCAAACGAGCCCAAAATGCAAAGTTGCGCATAGTTGCCCAGAATTCGCGAGTCAAATCGCGATTCACCAAGAAAAGTCGCGACTCGCGGAAAAAAAATAGGCTAAAACATCAATTCTCGAATGGACGTCGCGACTTACCTGACTGGCTGCACATGATTTTATGAACTTTTGAGCCACTTTTCCACCTCCTACACCACTTATCCGAGAATCATGGTTTCTTTTGAGTTATTAACTCATTGTGGAATTGATAATGGAGCACTTAAGCATGATGGGTGGAAAGAATTATACAAAAATGATCAAAGGGCCATGGATGTTCCCTTCTTGAACCTATATAATCCCCCCTATGGTGATGTTTAGAGAATCCTTCATTCATATAGTTGTATAACATTTTAATCCTTTATTCCTCTTCTTAAATACTTGTCTTGAGAAAGAAGTGTTTAGGAGAAGGAATTTTGGAGAAGTTTGTATTTCTTTTGGTGTGCACTTATTCTCGGTTTAGCACTTGTATCAACCTTAATTCTCAATTTGGATTTCTTGTAAGTTTTCTTTATAATAATGATGATTTGCAGTAAAGTTTATGTTGAGGTTATTTTTTATATGAATAACTAAATCACTTGCTAGGGATAAGGGATGAACCTTTGAATTAGTATGTGATTATCGTGCTCGTTATTTGTTCACTTTATGTGAGTTAATTCTTATTTCGGTTTTTTATTTTCACGTTGGAATAAATATTATTGAAAAGTGACATTTCAACCTTGCTAATTGATTTCTAAGTATTGAAGAGTGACACTTCAATGTTAAACTTGTTTTCATATTTGAATATTATGTATTCCATTGTGACGATCAAGATCCGAATAAAATAGACGACTAATAATCTTTTCTAGTTTATTCTAATCGACTCTTGAACCGAAAGGTGAAAAGTCAATCGATCGAGACTTATACAAAATAGACTTGTTCCGAAGGTATTGTCTATGTGTTAAACAATTCATTACTTTACCGTTTATATTTATTCTCTTGTTCCGAAAGGTATTGAGGATGAATCTCTAAACGTGTAAGTGACTCGATTCCTTTAACCGAACGATCACAAGCCGATAATTGCATTACTATTCAACATGTTCATTCCCGATTCCCTAGCATCTTTCTCATCATTGAATTTGTAATTTAATTTGGTAAACAAATTTGTTTAAAAGAAACTTAGTTAATAATCAAAATTCCACAACTTGAATTAGAGTGTTTAGAACTTATTTATCTTTTCGATTGAATACACGTACAAAATAGTCCGGCTAACCTTTCTCGAGAGACACGACCCGGTGTTTGAATCTTTTGATTCTACTCCGGTAAAAATAAACTACAACATGTTGCGTCTTTGTGTGGGTTTGTTCGGGGGCGGATCCTTAAAGGGATCCGTACTGAAATTTCAAGAACATTTTTAAAGAGTATCTAACCATATTGAAAAAATTACACTTGAGGGAATATATGATAGTGAACAATACACATGTTAGCTATCTCTAAGGTATAAAATAACCTATTGTTTGTCTCTCCTTCATCAATTAATTTTTATTTTTGAGAATCAACATTATTTATCTTATTTTGGTTAGATTATAACTTGATATATACCTAATTAATTGCTTAATGTAACTTATAGTAAGAAGAACTAATTACAAATATTGTTATTTGTGTTAATTCATTCTCGAACATTGTTGATTTGATTATAAATTTTCATTTGAATTAATAATTTGTATAAATATATATACTTCCACATAAATCACTTTAAATTTTATTTTTGACTTTAATAGTTAATCTACTTTTTTAAAAATTAAAAAAAAAAAAAAAAAAAAAAA